TATATTTTCAAATAACAGTGATGGGAATGACTGACCACCCCTGTAAAACTGTAACTGATGTTTGCATTAGATTTTTTTTTTTGAGACAGAGTTTCATTATGTTGCCTTCAGTAGAGTGCTGTGGCCTCATAGCTCACAGCAACTTCAAACTCCTGGGCTCAAGTGATTCTCTGGTCTCAGCCTCTCAAGTAGCTGGGACTATAGACACTACCCACAATGCCCAGCTATTTTTATTTATTTCTTTCTGAGATAGAGCCTTTTTTTTTTTTTTCCTTGCAGTTTTTGGCTGGGCCGGGTTTGAACCCACCACCTCTGGTATATGGGGCCGGCACCCTACTCCTGGAGCCATAGGCACTGCCCCAAGACAGTCTCACTATGTCACCCTCCATAGACTGCTGTGGTGTCACAGCTCACAGCAACCTCAAACTCTTGGGTCAAGTGATTCTCTTGCCTCAGCCTCCCAAGCAGCTGGGACTATAGGTGCCCAACACAATGCCTGGCCATTTTTTATTGCAGTTGACATTGTTGGTTAGCTGGCCAGGGTGGGATTTGAACCCACCACCTTTGTTGTATATGGCTAGGGCCATAACCACTGTGCTATGGATGCTGAGTCCAGCTATTTTTAGAGATGGGATCTTGCTCTTTCATAGGCTGGTCTTCTGAGCTCAAGCAGTCCCCCCATTTGGGCCTCCCAAGGTGCTGGGATTATAGGCATGAGCCACAATGCTTGGCCTATACTTGATGTTTTCAAAGTGCTGAAGTGTGTGTGGGGGGTGAGGTGGCTCGCACCTGTAATTCTAGCAGTCTGGGAGGCCGAGGTGGGTGGATTGCCTGAACTCAACAAGGTTCAAGATCATCCTGAGCCAGAGTGAGACCTCATCTCTAAAACATCCAGGCATTGTGGCAGATGCCTGTAGTCCTGGATATTCTGGAGGCTGAGGCAAGAGAATCACTTAAGCCTGGAGAGTTTGAGGTCGCTTTGAGCTATGACACCATACGTACTCTACTAAGGGTGACCAAGTGAGACTCTGTCTCAAAAAACCCAAAACAAAACAAAAAACCTGGCTCAGCACCATAGTTCAGCAGTTAGAGCACTGGCCACATACACTGTGGCTGGTGGGTTCGAACCCAGCCTGGGCCTGCTGAACAACAGTGACAACTACAACAAAAACAAAAATAGCCGGGTGTTGTGGCAGGTGCCTATAGTCCCAGTTACTTGGGAGGCTGAGGCAAGAGAATTGCTTAAGCTCAGGAGTTGGAGGTTGCTGTGAGCTGTGATGCCACAGCACTCTACTATAGTGAAACTGTCTGGAAAACAAAACAAAACAAAGTGCTCTAAAGTGATATCCAGACCACACATGTTAGACTCTCAGGCTGACAGTGCTCAAATAGTTGGGAAGGGATTACTTTGCTATTTTTTGCATCCCTAAAGCTCAGATAAGTACTCTATTTTATTATTATATTTTTTTCAGACAGAGTCTCACTTTGTCACCCTCGGTAGAGCGCTATGGTGTCACAGCTCACAGCAACCTCAAACTCTCGGACTTAGGCGATTCTCTTGCCTAAGATTCCCGAGTAGCTGGGACTACAGGCTCCCACCACAATGCCTGGCTATTTTTAGAGGCCAGGTCATGCTCTTGCTCAGGCTGGTCTTGAACTTATGAGTTCAGGCAATCCACCTGCCTCCGCCTTCCAGAGTGCTAGGTTTACAGGCATAAGCCACTGTGCCCAATAAGTGCTCAACTTAAAAATCTTAATAGAATTGGGGTTGCGTCTGTGGCTCAAAGGAGTAGGGCACTGGCCCCATATGCCAGAGGTGGCGGGTTCAAACCCAGCCCTGGCCAAAAACTGCAAAAAAAAAATCTTTATAGAATTGAATTCTGCTGTTGTCATAGGAAAGGAATAGAATCTGATGGAAAGAAGCAGGAAATGAAAAAAAAATCTAGAATCAGGAAGTAAGTCAGGGAAAAGAACTTTTATATTCCCTCAGGTTGTTTTTACCTAAGGTAACTGACTCTAAAAGTACCAAACATGAAGGGAGTAAACACTCATCTTGGGGGTGATTCTGCCCTTCTTGGCAATCTCCCCTTTATTGAGGGTGCTGTTACTTATTCCTTCCAAAGGTCTCCACCCTCACCTCCCCTTTCCCAGGAGGGAGAAGTCTCTTTGCCTTCTTAGAGTCAGGAATCAACATCTTCGCTTGTGTGCCGCTTTTCTTGGCCATTACAATTTCATCTACAGTCACGAGTTCCAGCACCACCTCAGTTGCTGCCCGAAATGCTTGGGCTTTGGCCATCAGGGTGTCCCACACTCCTTCGTGGCCCACGTTTATTATCCCTTCAGCTCCTACTCCAATTAGGAAGTTCCCAGTTTGGTGAACTCCACTCATTTTTGCCATCACATCCGAGACAACTAAGCCTGCATTCTCTGCCAGGGTTTTAGGAAGAGACCTCAGGGCCCGGGCAAACGCTAGGAATGCAAGACCATTGGGCCCTTCCAACTTGCTTCCTTTATCCGACAGCATTTTCGCCAGGGCCATCTCTGTGGCCCCTGCGCCTGGAATCAGCCTGGGGTCTTGACACAGCTGGAAGTAGGCATCGATGCCGTGGTACACAGCCTGCTCTGCACCACGAAGCCCCTGGATGGTGGCTCCCCTGAGGACCACGGTGAGGGCAGGCGTGCCTGTGCATTCCCACTCAAATACTATGGCCCCATCTTCTCCCAGTTCCTGCCTATAAACACTCTGGCACCTTCCTGGTTTCTGCGGAGGGAGTAGACCAGTCAGCAAAGGTGTGCCAAACACCTCGCTCAGGTAAATTAGCTGTGCCCGAGACCTAGCTTGAATCACCACCATGCGGTACTTGTCTGCCAGCGTGAGGGTCTTTTCGTCAATGTCCCCCCACACCACTGCCACATTGATACCCATAGCTGCCAGCTGGGACACTTGCTTTTCTATCAACTGCTCGTTTCCTTTCCTAAATTTAGCCAGATCAGCAGGACTAGAGAGACGGGCAGTTGCAGGTGCATTGGGACTGGCAGGACCAAACGGGCAAGCAAAGAGAGCCACTGTGGCCCCATTTAACACTGTGGTTATTTGCCCGCAGAGCTTCCCAGCCATGGCCAAGCCTGGGAGCAGGCAGGACTCCTCCGGCGACCCTCCCTGCAGTGCGCACACCCCCACACGCTCAGCTCTGAAGCTGCCGTCCAGCTCCCTGCTAGCCCAGCACGCGTTGGCCACGAGCTTGGTCAAGTAGTCCGCGTGGGACAGGGCATGGGTGTTCATCATGGAGTAAAGGGCCCAGGATGGGTCTTCCAAAGGACCCAGAGAGCGGATGGCCAGTGAGGGCAGTGCGCTCAGTGCCTCCGCGGTGGCAGCGGCAAAGGCCTCCCGGAGCTGCGAGCGTGGCAGGCCGGCCTTCAGTAGGTGCTCTGCCTGCTCCAGCAAGGCCTCCGTCAGAAGGACCACGAAGGAAGTGCCGTCCCCAGTGTTCTCTGCCTGGGTTTGGGCTGCCTCGCGGAGGAACCAGGCCGCTGGATGCTCCAGCTCCAAGGCCCTGAGGATGGCAGCGGCGTGTCCGGTGCACACTGTTTCTCCCTTCGCGGTCACCAGCAGCTTCTGCCGGCCGTGCGGGCCATAGCAAGGCCGGATGACATTGGCCAGCGTCTGGACCGCAGCCGTGCTGCTCAGCAGGTGCTGCTCCTCCTCTCCCAGACCCCTCCAGCTGTCCCGCGGGTGCGGCTCCAGAGGTTGGGGCAGCTCCAGAGCTGAAGGGACTCTGCTGTCCATGGCTCCAGGTGAGGGGAGACCCGTGTGTGCGGCAGAGATGCTTTAGAAACGGCGGCAGGGGTGACTTGGACACCAGTCATTGAAGGTGAAGCCGCTACCCGGGCAGGTTCTCCCAAGGCAGCGGAGGATCTGCAGGGAGCTTAGTCCTAAAGCTGCCCTTGACGGCGTAAAGCAACTGGGCTTTTGGAATCTCTGGACCTTGGTAGTTAAAACAGGATCTTGAACTGATGAAGTCACAAAGTGGCAAATAGAACTGGCAACGATGTCAGCAAGGCAACTATGACAGGCCTTGTTGTCTAGCAGTGGAGGTACACACACCTCCATAGCATTGAAGACAAGAAAGAGATTAAATTGCCAACGAAGCTGGGTTTGTTTTGTTTTGTTTTTGTGAGAGAGAACTGAGATGATGTCTTGTGTTTTTTCTTGTTTTATTTTCTCTTGCAGTTCTATGTAATACTGGTCATATTTTGCTGTCCAGCTTCCTTTGCTATTTTGTCTTTTTTTTGAGACAGAGTCTCTCATTTTTTTTTTTTTTTTTTTTTTTGAG